CCAGGGCAGCATCTGTTAACTGAAATATGTCAATTGGTATACCATCTATTCCTGGAGCCTTATTTTTTGCCATATCCTTCAAAGCAGCCTGAACTTCTTCTTTCATCACCTCCCTGGAGGTTAGGATCTTAAAGCTCTGTAGCACATACTTTGGGCATGTGCCCAGGCAGGAGAAATCCTTGGAGAAAGAGATTATGGTTGGAAGGGTGGGGGGACAGCACAAGAGAGGAAGACCCTGGATGAGAAGGACTGACTCAGTGACGAGGGTAATGGGAGTATGTGTGTAAGAGACAATGAGGTTAGCTTAAGATTGGGGCTGTTGTACACAGGGTTGTTATGAGTCTCAAGCTATTTGACAGCACCTAACAACAACTACACAGTTTGTTTACAGAAGTCTTTTAAGTAGTTTGGTATGTTAGGTTTCAGAAATCCTTCCCCAAACTTGATTTACTATTTTTCTCTTTGAAAACTGAAACTTTATAAACTTGATGTATTAATTCATGAGGGTTGTAATATGTAAGTAAGTATTTTTCAATTTCTCTATTATGTAAAAATAAGGTTTTATAAAATGTACACCTTAGGTCAGTGACTCTTGAGTCGTGCCATAATCATCAAAACTGTTTAAGTTCTTAGTTCTTTTAGTCAACACATAAAATTAAAGAATACATTTATTTAAAAGGACCAAATTACCTAAGAACAACTTTAAATGAAGTCTCTTAATAAAGAGTGAACAACATCACAACACAATTTAAATAAACTCATAAAAACTTGAAGTGCAATAAATGCATTTTATTATATGCTCATTTTGATGAGAAACATTTAAATAATAATCCCACATAACAGAGACAATCTTATTTTACAGTGTATACATCATTTACAGCCACATAACACACAATTTTCATAGAGTTTCCAAATTTAAACTTTTGAAGTTAGAAAGATAAAAAACATTATTTTCAAAGGACAGATTCTAATCTGATGCAAAACCAGAAAAGTGAACATTAATTGGAACACAAAACCACAATATAGAATGAATTAAAATTACATGTTAATTATGCTGATCGGCTGAGTGTAAACATGAAGCAACAAAAACTTTAAAAGTACACACTATATGCTTTACATTTATGGAGTTTCAAAAATTGCCCTAAACCAGCTGGTTATATTAACCGCCATTTTGATCTGTAGCATGCTAATACAAAGCACTGTTAAGAGATGCATATTTCAAATTTGCACAATGTAAACTTAATAAACACCTCCAAACTTTTTCGTCAGCACACTGTTAAATACTGCATAAATACTGAATTATACTGAAGATTTATGGTAATAATATGGTATATAGATTTTAAAAATCAGTATTTTCAATAATGTCAAAAAATTGCACCTTTAAACATTAGAATAAGAGTAAAACAATCATACTTACTATGACTGTTCTAAAAACATTAAACAGAATATTTTAAAAAACTGGGTTCTCTCAATTTAGTATGTATATCATTAGGAAATATTTTCTGATTTTGCAACACTAGTGTTGCATACATTTTAGAAATTCACATTTGACTGAAATATACTCGTCATATATGCCATACTGAACATTAACTTAAAGATCAAAGTTACATGTGAACGTACGTATGTACGTACACACACACACACACACACACACACACACTCTCACACCCCTTAGCCTTCATCACAGAATTAAATAATTTAAACTTTCTATTCTGTGATAAAATAGCAGCTCTGAAATTAATTTTTAAAATAGTATTGAATTAATTTAAACTTTACAGTGACCTTTTTTTAAAATAAATACATAAAACTTTCACCAGTTCTGAAATTCAACTTCCAGATAAAATATAAAAGGCTCAGTGACTAAATGAGTGATGGATGGTTTTCATTTCCTCACCCTATTTTTAAAATTGCATAAAATTGAAGCTTGCTTGCTAAAGCAAAACATTGTTACACTCAATAGATATATCTTTTCAGAAACATCTGTCTCTAGTACGATGAATCAAATCATACTTTTCCCCGCTGCAGTTTAATTATGCATATAATAGTATTAAACAAACACATATTCTGCAACCATTTTATGGTGTTCCTTACTTATGTAATTTTCAAAGGGCTATGAGATCTCCTGCAAATTAAAGTACTGTAAGATCTTTAATACAAAGAATGTAAAGTTATGATTTAATATGAAGCTTTGAAACCAGATGAAACATTACATGAAATTTTCCTAATTAACAAATCTTTAAACAGCATTTTCCTTCATATCGGTGCTACTGCATAAGAGCCTCCTTATGGTGCCTCATAATATGTTGATTTTTTTCTGAAGGTCTTCGGAATCCCTTCTTGCAGAATTCACATCTGTGTGGGTAGTCTTTTGTATGGATTGATATCACATGTCGTTTAAAGCCAGATGCATCTGTAGTGCTATATTCACAATACTCACATTGGTAGATCTTCCTTCCATTATGGGTCTTCATATGCTTCTTGAGCTCATTCTGTTGTCTGAAACTTCTCTTGCACCTTTTACACTTTAATGACTGATCCTTAGTATGAACTGAAAGGATATGACCACTAAGAATAAATGGATCTGATGTCTTAAAATCACAGTGCCTACATTGATGAATCTTCCTACCCTTATGACTATCACTATGCTTTTTAAGCTCAGAAGGACGATGGAAACCTTTATCACAGACTTCACATTTGTGAGGAAAATCCTTAGTATGGACAGATATGATGTGCCGTTTAAGGTCACTTGAGTTGGTGCTCTTGTGGTCACAATGAGGACACTGGTGTATCTTGTGTCCTTGAAACATATCTAGATGACGCTGAAGCTCCCTCTCATCACCAAATGCTTGAGGACAGTGCTCACATTTATATGGTAAGTTGTTACCATGTTTAGACTTAATGTGAGTTTTCAGATTTGACTGATCTGCACACCTGAAGACACAATACTGACACTGATATGGCTTCTCACCAGTATGGATTCTCATATGCTTCTTTAGCTCAGAAGGATGTCGAAAGCCCTTCCCACACTCAACACAAACATGAGGAAAATGTTTGCTATGAACAGCCAATAAATGTCTATTCAAGAATCCTTGTTCTGCAGTTTCATAGTCACAGTATTTGCACTTGTGCATCTTCGGCTCCTTGTCTCTTAAAATAAGTTTATTTGAATTCAATGGACTAGCTTCTCTGTATCTTCGTGTGTATTCTGTAAATTCATGTGTTTTGTCAAGTTTGTTTATAAGCTTATGGCTTTCTAAATGGTTGTGGAAACTCACTTTTTTGTTAGTTGTAAAATCACAATCTGTACACTGATATTTTTTTCTCATCAAGTGATCAGGATGATTTTTCATGTGTCTTTTCAAGAATCCCCTGGATTTAAACTTTTTTGTGCAAATGTGGCAAGGGTATACTGTCAAGGGCTGTCCATCAGGACCTATTATAACAGCTAGATGAAAAAGGAAGGTATAACATTTGGTCAAAGACTATTTAAAAATTTTATTAACAAAGGTACTAAAATTAGCTGACACGTACTGTGCGAGAACAGTAAAATCCTGGAAGATAAAAATGTACTTGAAAAGAATTTATAATAAACTAGCTCACTACAAAGCTCTATCATAGGGCTCACCTGACAAATTGCTATATCACACTCATTTTAAAAATCAAAATTGGGTACCCTTTTCATTGAACCACCCAAAACCTTTCCTTTAAAATTTCTTTTGAGAAAAAGTAGGAAGTTTTGCTAAATAATAGTCACATACTTCACAAAAACCAATAATCTACACCATAAAATTGGAGTAGGACCATAACTGCAACTGATTGATTTATTTATGAAATATACTTTCACAACCCAAATCATTGTGATGTTCATAAAGTAAAGTATTTTACCTGTTTGCCACTGCCTGGTTTCTCCCCTTCTTCTCTTCTTGGCTTTTTGTTTAAGTACTTTATTCGTATTAATAGTATCACAAATTTGAAGGTACTGTGCTGCTGTGTTACTTCTTTTTTCTAGAGATGAATCCAAACTATTTCCTGAAAAAAGTGATACATCATTAATACCACATTTTGTTTATATAAATTACTGCGCTTGTGGTAGTAAGTGTTTCTCTCTCTCTCTCTCTCTCACACACACACACACACACACACACATATTCATTGAAACATTAAAAAAAATATATTACCTGAAATTAACTTTAAAATATCTCAGTCTATTCACCCTGGTGGGATAAACTGTTAAGGTGAATTTGTATATGATGATATGATCAAATATGATATTACAAGTATAATTTTGGCATCAGAATAACTTCTTACCAATGAAGGCTGACAACATTAAATATATTTAAAAAAGAAATACATAAACAATGAAGCAAAATGATCATAGTGTCTGTGTGTAATATAGTAACAAAGCAGCAAACTAATTGTGAAAATTAAGTACTAAAATTAATTTTGAAGGGTTAACACAGAGGTAGTAGGCAATTGACAACACTTTTAAAGGGTCAGTGCATACAGAATACATATGAATTAAATCTCACTTATTAAATGTGGAGCTATGCAATTTAATTTTGAAATAGAGATCTAGAAAAATATTTAGTTTAGCTTCTGAACTAAGATGTATACTTCTCATCAAGTTCTCTAAAAATCTACATTCAGATTTAGAGAATATTTCCAAAAGGTAGAAAGAGACATATTAGTGATTAAAAAAAAATCTGCTTATCTACAACCAGGAGAAGATAAAGTCAATGAATGGAGCCTTCTAAGAATCAAATCCCGATGCAGATCTAAAACCTTCTCCAACAGGGTAAAAACAGAAGCCATAGACCGGGGAAAAATATTTGGTAGTGACATGTCAGATAAGGGACTTGTTGTTATATGTAATCAAGTCTGTTTCAACTCATAGCGACCCTATGTACAACGGCCCGAAACTCTGCTCTGTTCTGTGCCAATCGCACTGTCTCCATCACACCCATCCCGATTACCCCAGTCACTGAATCAATCCACCTCATAGAGGGCCTTCCTCGCCTATGCTGTCCTTCCACCCTCCCAAGCATGATGTCCCTCTCCAAGAACCAGTCCCTCCTTACAACATGTCCAAAGAATGTTAGATGGAGCCTCAGAATCCTTGCCTCCAAAGAGCCATGGATTAATCCTCTCCAGGATGAATCTGTTTATTTTCCTAGCAGTCCATAGTACCCTCAAACTTCTTCTCCAGCACCACAGCTCAAAGGCATCAATTCTCCTTCTATCCTCCCTAGTCACTGTCTGAGTCTCTGATGCATAACAAGTGATTATAAAGACCATGGCCTATATCAGACACACCGTAGTCTCCAGAGAGACACCATTGTTCTTCAGGATTTTAGAGAGGTCCCTAATAGCAGACTTTCTCATGGAAATATGCCTTTTAATTTCCTGGCTACTGGTGCCAAAGAGTGTTGACTGTGGAGCCAAGCAAAGTAAAGCTGTGAACAATCTCAATCTCTTCACCATCCATCGTGATGCTCCCAACTGGTCCAGTGGTGAGATTCTTTGTTTTCTTGATATTGAGCCTCAGCTCAAAATGGCCCAGGCCAGTCCATCTCAGCTTGTCAGTGCCTAGTATGTCAGTATTTATGCATTCCATTTCTTCTTTATCAAATCCAATTTTCCTGCGTTCATACTTCTCACATTCCGGGTTCCAATCACTAATGTCTATTTACAACTGTTCCTCTTTTGTGTTTCCCAGTATAAAGTCTCAGCCTCTGGTGCCGTATCTACTTGTCTAAGTATGCTCTATTGTTTGTAGCATTTTCTCAGGCCTATTACTTCAGAAGTGAATTTGTTGTTGTTGTCGTTAGGTGCCGCTGAGTGGAGTATCACTCATAGTGACTCATAGTGACCTTATGAATAAAAGATCTGAACCCAGTCCTGTTCTGTGCTATCCTCACACTTCCACACACATTACAGCAGTCACCTTGTCAGTCCACCTGGTTGAGTGTCTTCCTCTACTTTGCTGACCCTCCTCCCTTCCTAACATCATATCCAAAGTATGTGAGGTGAAGCCTTAGTCTTGCCTCCAAAAATCACTCTGGCTGCACCCTCTCCAAGACATATCTTTTTGTTCTTTTAACCGTCCATAGGATGTTCAGTGTTCTTCTCAAACACCACAGCTCAAAGGTGTTAATTCTTCTTTTGTCACCCTTATTCATTATCCAGCTCTCAGATGCATAGCAAGTAATTGGAAAGACCATGGCCTGAATTAGACACACCTTAGTCCTCTAAGAGGGATATCACTCTTCCTCAATAATTTGAAAAGGTCCCTAACTACTGATTTTCCCAGTGCAGTGAGTCTCCTTATTTCCTCACTGCTTGTACCAAGGGTGTTAATTGTGGATTCAAGCAAGATGAAGCTGTTGACAGTTTCAGTCGCCTCTCCATCCATTATGACACTGCCCATTGGAGAAAGAGTATCAGAATATTGTTACAATCAAAGATTTGTTCATTGCAAATACCTTTTAGAAACAACACAAAAGGAGACTACACATATAGACCTCACCTGTCGGACTACACAGGAATCGAATTTATTACATCTCTGGAAAGAATCATTGGAGAAGCTCAGTATCAGCTGTGAAAACTAGGCCAGGTGCTGACTGCCAAACAGCTTATATTCAATTCAAACTGAAGCTAAAGGAAATTAAAACAAAGTCACAAGAACCAAAATTTGCCTTTAAGTATATCCTATCCGGATTTAAAAAATATCTCAAGAACAGGCTTGATTTGAGGCCTTGAACACTAATGAAAGAAGACCAGAGGAACTGTGGGAGGATATCAAGAATATCATCCAAGAAGAATGTAAAAGGTCATAAAAACAGAGGAGGAAGACAAGACTGAGATGGATGTCAGAAGAGCCGGAATACTGCACTAAAAAGTGAGCTGAACAGAGGATTTCAAAAGGCAGCTCAGGAAGACAAAGGAAAGTATTATAATAAAATGTGCGAAGAGCTAGAGTTGGAAAATCAAAAGGGATGAACTTGCTCAGCATTTCTTAAACTGAAGGAACTGAAGAACAAATTCAAGCCTCGAGTTATAATACTTAAAGATGTTATGGGTAGAATATTGAATGATCAAGGAAGCATCAAAAGAAGATGGAAGGAATACAGAGTCACTGTACCAAATAGAACCGACTGACAAAGAAGAATTTAATAAAACAATATAAGATAAATAATGTAAGGCAACAGTGATGAAGGACAAAGTTCAAGCTGCTCTGAAGGAACTTGCAAAAAAAAAAGGTCCCCAGGAATCATTGCCAGAAAAATTTGAAAACCCTAGTTTGACCCTGAAAAAGATTTTAAAAGAGGTTAATATTCTGAATAATTTTATTTCTCTGTGAAATAATTCCTATTTTATGAATCTTTCCATCACTTACTCATTGCTGTCAAGTTAGAACCAATTAATTCATAGCTAACCCTCTAGTGAGTTTTCAGAGGCTGTTGGTAAGTCAGCAGCCCTACTCCCTATGGATTGTGCCACCAGAGCTCTCTACAATGTGTACATCCATAATAGGAAAGTTATATGTAACTTGAGATTCAGCTGTTTAATACGAATTGAAAAAAACAAAAACAAACCGGAATCGGGACACACCCCTGCAGCTCTGACCCACGACCCCCATCTTCAGGTATTGCATTGCTCCCCCCCGACCGGGCTCGCGCACCCCCCTGCCAGCTCTGAACTTTGGGGCTGGCCAAGGACTGTGTGCAGACGCAGTGAACGGTGGGAGTGGACTTGAATCGGGACACACCCCTGCAGCTCTGACCCA